CAGTTCCCGCCGAACCTTATCAAGCACCAAATAGCCCTTGATCGACACCAGACAATTAGACGACTTCACTTTGAATAGCTTTTTTTTTTGAACCTTATTAAACATCGGGTAGTCTTCTTCTATGTAGCCCTTTCCCACTGCGCACCGACTTCTCAACAAGAGCACCGGATGATATAGCACTCAAACCAAAACCCTAGCTAATTAACTAACTCCACCACAAAATTAAAGTTAATTAACTTATAGATTTTCTTTTTATATACTTTCTCAACTTACTGAATCACAAAGAGTCAACGGCCCCACTAGAATTTAAACATGTGACTTTTCATTTGAGAGAGTTACAGTTATACCACTTGACCACGATGTCTTTGGCAACGTTAGGTAATTTAGTTTAGACGATTAATCCATAAGTTTAATTAATTACTACCTAGCTAGTACGGTAATGCCTGTCAATTTGGCAACTTGTGATCTTGGATATATATTGTAATTATAGTTTAGAAAGCATCGTGCATGTGATTGATTAACCCTTAGCTTGTTTGCTAATTTTATATTACATACTTATCAGCTTTAGGTTTACGTTTACGTTTACGTTTATGACAATTGACTTATATATTTCCTAACGTTTCAATCAAGTTATAGTATCTTAATATTCTACTCCATAGGAATTTAATTAAATAATTACAACTAATTTTGTTTTGTTTTGTTTTGTTTTTTTAATGACAAGGCCGGAAAACTAGTCGTCATAATCTGAAAGTGTACATCGAGTAAACCCCACTCTTATATAATAATTGACAAATCACACAAAATAGATAAACTGTACTAGAAAAATTCTATGCGACATGTTCAACTAAGAGCAAATTTGATAGATATATATATCTTAGGCAATATCTTGTTGGGAAGTTCAAATTAGTGATTTGATCGTCTTTTATTATTAAAAAGCGTCAAAAGTATGTTGGTAATCATTTTTCACCCAAAATAATAAAAAGATCATTTTTCATGCATGCGTGTGTTATTTTTAATCAAATATAAAATGAACCAATCAAATATATATTACTACCCAAAAATGTTTTTTTTTTTTTATTTGTTGCCCAAAGGTATCCCTTCAGTAGCCAAAGACTAATCCTCCGTCCAAACAATCAAACACACTAAATGGTAGTTGGGACTAGTCAAATGGTCTACTCCATTCACATGGGTGGGTATCAAACCCCCAACCTCATACTTAAAGGACAAGGTGCTCAACTACCACGCCAACCATGTTGGTTGATGAAATTAATTACTAACCCATATATTTACATGCTCAAAATAATTAATAGGCAAGAAAGTGATTAAATGCACATTAAACTATTAAAGTATTACATAGATGTCGACTAGCTAGTTTACAAGAATGTGCATCTGAAATATATTACTCGTGTGATGGGGACTCTTAACACTTTGAGAGCTTTGGTACATTAGGTTCAAAACAACAATTACTCTCAATTAGGATAAAAGAGTTGATTTTAGATCAAAGTGTTCAATGCCAACAAAATTTATTAACACCACATTAACCATGTATACCTTTTTTTAGATGACAATGAAAAATCACCGCCACTACCTGAATATGTGTACTGAATAAACCTCACTTATGTACAATAATTTCCGATTAGAGAAGTAAATCATATTAAAAATACTCTATATTACATACTCGGCTAAAAAGGTGTTGAGTTTCTAAAAACATTTGACCATTTTATTCATTCATAAATTTGGTCATATTGATGAAGTAGTGGATACTGGATAGGGAATGTCATAAAAATTTGGTAGAAAAAGGACATAATGGAAAGATGTGTGAGTGTGACATATAGTACGTACCGTATCTGATGGCAAAATGACGGATAAAACAACTCATGTTGTTAACACTATACATCATCTCCGCAAAATTACATTCTTAGCTTTTAATTTGAATCATGCACGATTAATTATTAACTCAGATTTTTCAAGTTTGTCAAAGCGAACCCCAATACTCTTGGTAGGAATCAAACCTCACTATATTATTAAAAGCAAATCTTAAGTAGATTATTTTATCCATTAGACCAGTATCTTAGGGGCATTATTTACTTTAATATATATATATATATATATATATATATATATATATATATATATATAGCCATTAGTTTCATTACGATGTTACATGTTTAGTCCTTTACCTTAATAATGGTAGGATTTGGTTGGTGTTTCTGTACCCATTATCGAATTTAATACTTATTACCATGTTTGTTTGTCTACTTTTGCTATTAGATTCAAATCTTCTACTAATCATAAATCTCTTTACCATCTTCATTCCTTACTTTTGAACAATGGAATAAAAAATGAGAAAGAAAAAAAATAAAAAGATCATTCTCTATGCATTCAATATTGAACTTTACTATATAAACACATATATGTATGTGGATATTTATGTATTATAATTTTTTTTATTGGTTTTCACTTGCATTGCGCTAATGTTCAATGTTTATTTTTGAATAAGTATTTCAAAGTATATATGTCAAGATTATATAGGAGATGTTCATGCATATGTAATTGAATGTTGAATTTAATTTGTTTATTTAAATCGGTAATTCAAAGTATAACAAATGCAAGATAATATAGGAGAGGTTGATTATAATTGTCATGAAAATAAATGTTTACAACTTTGTAAAAACGATAGTCTAAAAAAATACTACTTTTAGTTTGAATTTCTCTAAATCTATTCATAATTTTATTTTGGGTAGCATTGTCATTGCCTTCATTTTCAGTACTTGTCATCTTCTTTTTTATTGATAGTGTGTCATGTGTAATTGGATTACTAGTGGTAGCATAGAAGGTGGCGTCATTCAATGAGGTTAGTATAGGAAACTGTGGATTTGTCTTGCGTATATGAGTGAGATCTTAGTTATACTATGAACATTTGATCTTGCAAGAGCCTATTGATATTTGGTAGTGGTAATTTTCCTATACATGTTTCATGTGTTGTAAGATGTGTGTCATAGATTCTCTGTGAAAATATTGAACAAAATATAATATTTATTATATTTGTAGAATGTTCACGAGTAGTGCCTCTTGTTCTAGTTCTATAACTTTTACTTGATAGTAACAACAATGACTCTGCAAGTAGTTTGAATATTGATGCTGCAATGTGTCCAGATTCATCAACAATTTTCACATTCATTTTGCACATGTAGTTCATATTTTTGGAATTAGTATAAATGAGTGTAATACTTGATTGTGTGTGTGTGTGTGTATTTTGTAAAAAAAAAAAAAAAATTGTTGAATTAATAATAACCTTTGGAGTACCCATTGCTATTTTTTTTCACCACAATGCATGCGGTTAAATAGTTTGTCACTTTGTGCATAAACAGTTTTTAAACAGTGGCTACATCTTATATACCAAGTATTTTTATTGTCAAGGTTAATGTTGATTTTGCCTTTAAATCCAAGCAAGTTGAATCTAGAAAATGAAATGAATTGTAAATTTATATTAGTCCTAATATATTTAAAGGATACACAATAAGTATTTTACATACATGATCAATGAATGCTGCCACGGTCGCTATTATTTAAATTTCTTCATTTTCTGGATTTGTAAAATTGATTGCAGCATTGTTGTAGTCTCGACATCTTTTCAATGCGTCAAGTATATCACGTTGTTTTTAATAATGAGTTTTAGATGTAGCTTTGTAAGATAATGATATAATTACCATTTACATATTATTATCAGCACAAAAGCATACAAATCATGCATTTAGATGTTTTGCTTGAGGTACTTTTAGTTCAACCATTATTGTTCAATGAATTCTTGTAGATATAGAAATTCCTAATTTATTTAATGAATAAGATTAGATAAGGTAGTAAAAATTTATACATTTTAAATCATCTTAATAAAAAATGATGATTTACCTTTAAAGTGGACAACTATATGTAGTCCAGAAATATTACGGAGTAATTTCCCGCTTCAATTACTGAAGTCTGATACTGCCTCCACTGAGGCTCGAACCCATGACTCCCACTTGAGAGAATCACTTCAGACTGCTTGAGCCCAAGGTCTTTTGCGTAGTGTTCAGTAGAGTGATTACTGTTCACTAGGGCTTATGAAACAAGACCTTGCCCATTGCATTGAGATTTGGTGTTCCTCCATGTACATGAATATATACATATATTGAAAAATGATTTTTGAGAAAATACATAATTAAAGTGTTTAAAGGGGTTATATTATATGCCAATTATTTGCCCCAATTAATAATATGATCGTCTTCAAACTGTTTATTTTTTAAAAAAAAAAAATTCATACTAGTAATAAAATACTTAGTAAATAAATATATAACATTATTTTGTATTATAACTTTAATATTTAAATACAAGATAATGTAAAAAAAAAAAAAAAAAAGATAATGGACAAATGTAGAGATTATATAATTAATTAATGAATTTGAAGATAAGAAATATCTGCATTGTAGAAAATAAAGACTATAACTCATGAAATTATCGCTTTTTAAAATTTTTGATAATGAATAAAAAAAAAAATTGATTAAAAGTTCATAACCAACATTTTTTGACCTTGTAAATAACTGAAATTTTCCGTCAATTCAGTTATCGACTATGGGTTTTGTCAATTTTTTAGATTTTAATTCAAATTCTTATTAATTACCCTGCAAAGAAACTTCTACGTAAATACAATAATCAAGTATTTGAATCCAATATGATTCCAATTTCAATGTTTGAGTCAAACGCCCAATGCTCAATCGTTATACTGTGAAACCGTATTCACCTTGCAAGGTAGACATGTTTTATGTTCATAATTACTAAATTATATATTCATAATTATAAAGTTATATATTCATAATTTTTAAACTTCATATTCACAATTATTGAATCTCTATATTCATAATTATGTTCACAACTCAAGGTGGACACGATTCTACAGCATAATTTGCCCCCAATGATGTTACGATTTACGAATAACAACATATAATTCAAGTGAAAGAGAGAGAGAGAGAGAGACCTATTCCAAATTCATAAACATTGAAACAATATATAATTCAAGTGTGAGCTGTTTCAAATTCATAAACATGGAAAGGCAAATCAGTTTTAAACAACAAACCTGAGAAAGACAAATCTTAATGCTATTTCATATTGTATACACTTTTTTTCAGAATCATTAGGCAGAGTTGAAATGTCAGATCGTCATTGAACCATAGCCGTGTGAATTCAAATATTGCCATTTCCATCCAAAGTAAGCTATTGTGTGATCCTGTATATACAGGAGATTGTATTAGTTGCTTTTAGAAAGATTTTTGATAAAATTACATGTAAAAAGACTAAAAAAAGGCATATACACATATTTTATAATAACAACTGCAATTAAATACCTATAATCTGAAATGATCAACACATACCTTGCTCTAAAGATCTGGACTCAATGCTTGTATTTCATCGTTTCCTTCTCGAAACCAATAGTTGGGAATTGCTTTGCATACTCCTCAACCTCAGATCGGAGCTTTGCAATCTCAGATTGAAACCCGGAATCTGAGCTCATAGTTGTCACAAAGTCCTTCAACTTTGTTCCTAGGGAAAACAAGTACTGTTAAGCATACAACTACAATAAACTTAAAATGCTCAACCCTTAAATAGAAGGATCAGAATAAATGAATTCAAACCTTCTGTCTTTGCCTTTATCTCAAGTGCCAACTTTACAGCAGCATCAAAGAACTCAGCCACTTTAACGAAATCGTCCTCGACAAATCCTCTAGATGTGAGAGCCGGAGTTCCTGGATTGTCAGGTAAGTGGAAGTTACTAAAAATGACTATGCAGGTAGGAAGAGTACTATGTAAAGTAATGCATTATAGAGTAAGACAAACTTTACAATTCAGAATCTGAATTTGCTAAGGAGAAGGATTCATGCACTCTTGCAGGAGAAATGTAAAGTGGAGCATTTCGTGAAGAAGATCTCCAGAGAAGGAATTTACCCATACGAATGCCACCAGGCACCATGGCAGACACATCACCTGGAACTGTATTCTTATTAGCTGCTATGTGCACAGCCTCTAAAACCTTTTCAACTCGGGAGCCATCAATACCCTGCAAGGAAAAGTCACAATGCACTCACATGCTTAGAAATGAAATCAATATCCACTTGAGTCCCATAAACAGGAACCTAGATGTTATTATCTTCTAGAACTTATATAAGTTTACAAAACCAGAGAATTATAAATTGAAATTTATTTAGAAGTCAACCAATCCACCACCTCCCCAATCCTCAAACATGTGTTCAAAGCAACAAGAGAAGCATCCACACTCGCAATCCGTTTAACTTGCTTCCACAATAAATTGACCAAGACTATTATTTTGAGCTCCTCTTATGAACTGTTCAAAAGTTTACAAAAAATACCTCACTGTATTCTGGCAGCTCTGTCTCACATCTCTTGGAGTGAATACTCCACCCTATAAATACATGCTAGAAGACTTTTAATAAGGAAACAAGTTTCCATATACCTACCTACCCACTCAAAACCCTAATCTCCAGGCTTCCTAATATGTAAAGGTTCCATATTTGTATATTCCATAACACTCCCCCTCAAGTTGGAGCATAGATATTAATCATGCCCAACTTGTTACACAAATAACTAACTCGGGTCCCAGTTAGGGCCTTTGTGAATAGGTCACCGAGTTGTTCTTCGGTCTTCAAAATCCAGTGGAGATTAACCCTTGTTGTATCTTTTCACAAACGAAGTGGCAATCGATCTCTATGTGCTTGGTTCGTTTATGAACACACCGGGTTCGATGCAATATGAAGAGCAGCTTGATTATCACACCATAATTTTACAGGAATTGGAGCTTTGAAACCAGACTCATTCAAGAGGTTGTTTATCCACATCACTTCACACGTTTATTGTTCCATCGCTCTATATTCAAACTATGCACTCGAATGAGAAACCACATTATGCTTTTTACTCTTCAACGAAACCATATTACCTCCAAAGAAAACACAACATTCGGATGTTGATCAACAATCCTCTTTGGACCCTGCCCAATCAGCATCAGTGAAACACCCAATCTTAGTGTAACCATGATTCTTATACAAAATTTCATGTCCTGGGGCTCCCTTCAAGTAACTCAAGATGTGCACTACAGCTGCCCAATTATCAACAATTGGGGATGCCATGTACCCGCTCAAAACACTAACTGCCTATGCAATATCTAGGCGAGTTACTGTAAAGTAGTTTAGCTTCCTAACTAATCTCCAGTACCTCTCAAGATCTTCAAACAATTCTCCATCCTTTGACAATTGCATGTTCGGTATCATGGGAGTATTGCATGGTTTAGTACCCAGTTTTCCTGTTTCCTCTCAAGTACCTCCAGTACCTCTCAAGATCTTCAAGCAATTCTCCCTCCTTTGACAATTGCATGTTCGGTATCATGGGAGTATTGCATGGTTTAGTACCCAGTTTTCCTGTTTCAGAGAGCAAGTCAAGTACATATTTTTGTTGAGATAGTAATATACTTGTTTTACTCCTCATAACTTCAATACCCAGGAAGTACTTCAGTGGTCCCAAATAGGGGTGTAAATGAACCGAGCTGCTTATGAGCCACTCGCGAGCGGCTTGGTCAAAGCTCGGCTCAAGCTCGGTCAAAATCGAGCTCGAGCCGAGCTCACATATCCTATGCTCGTGGCTCGACGAGCCACTCGCGAGCCTTATATATAATAATAATAATAATAATAATAATAATATTATTATTATTATTATTATTATTATTATTATTATTATTATTATTATTAAAATTAAAATTTTACTCCCTTCTAAGGCTTACCATACTCTAGTACTCTCGCAATCCCGCACAACCGCCCCATTCCCCCAAGCCCTAACCCTGGAGTCGACGACGATGACAAGAAGACGAGATATGGAGACACCGGAAGACTGTCGGGCGACGACACGTTTGAGGTCAAAATCGAGCTCGAATTCGCGCTCGAACTCGAGCTCAAAAAAACGAGCTACTCGAGCCAAGCTCGAGCTGTTCGAAAATTGTCGAGCCTTCCTTAACGAGCTCGAGCTCGAGCCAACCTTGGCTCGAGCTCGGCTCGATTCGTTTACACCCCTAGTCCCAAATCTTTTGTTTAAAATTGACTATGAAGAAATGACTGGAGAGATGAAATCCCATCGGTGTCACTCCCTGTAATGACAATGTCATCCACAAAGACCATTAACCAGATGATGCCTGTTTTGGACCACTTGTAAAACATGGAGTGATCTGATTTACCTTTCACCATCCCAAAGCTCTCAACAACTTGACTAAATTTCCCAATTCCCAAACCATGCATGTGGACTTTGTTTCATCCCATATAATGAGCGAAAAAAGAAAAAAAAACCTTTTATCGTAAAGGCTCTGATACCATGTTCAAAAGTTTAGAAAAAACACCTCACTGTATTCTGGCAGCTCTGTCTCACACCTCTTGGAATGAATACTCCACCCTATAAATACATGCTAGAGGACTTATAATAAGGAAACAAGTTTCCATATACCTACCTCAAAACCCTAATCTCCAGGCTTCCTAATATGTAAAGGTTCCATATTTGTATATTCCATAACATGAACAAAGAGCCTTTTGTTTAGAAAAGCTCCAACAATGAACTCAAAGCCACAAAGGGATTGACAATTGAGAAAAAGTAACTAATTATACTCTTTTAAGTGCGGAAGTAACAGCTTATCAAACAGCAGAGGGTCAAAGGGAAAGGAGTTAATTATCAGTTAGTTACCTTACTTCGTAAGTTTACCAGGACCAGATGATTTTCAGTCCCACCAGATACAAGGTTATAGCCTCTACCTATCAAACTCTGCAAACACGAAAGACTTCACTTTCATCACAAACAAAAGCAATTACAAGTTTACAACCATCAAAATATCACAGTACAACAGAATATAAGAAATGCAAATGTGGAAGTAACTATTACCTCAGCAAACTTTGAGCAATTACTGAGAACTTGCTCCTGGTAGGCCCTATATTCTGGTGTCATTGCCTACACAAAAGATTGCTAAAGTTTTATATAATAACCTAACATGTCTCCTATAAACCACTGCACTGGAAAACTGAAAATAACAATAACAACAACAACAACAACAATAATAATAATAATAATAATAACAACAACAACAACAACAACAACAACAATAACAACAATAATAACCATGTAATTTTACTTCTATTTTTTTTAGAAAGGGGCAAAAATTTTTACTTGTTTCAGAGCAACAGCTAAGGCTGTAATTGTGTGATTGTGAGGACCACCTTGAAGTCCGGGAAAAACTGCTTGGTTAATTTTGTCTTCATAGTCATACATAACCTATAGTATACAAATCAAAGTATCAAACTGTTATTTCTAATCCAAATCAATTATCCAATGATGAAAAAAATTTAAAAATTTTTTTTAAAAAAAAAGAAAAGAAAATCAAGAGTTGCCTTTGACATTGGAAGAACAGAAATAAGCAATGCAGATCCAAAGGTATCCTTATTTATTTATGCATTTCACATTTATTTGTTTGTTAAGGTTAGAACATACTTCTTTTCCTTGTTTATTAATCTCCTTCACTCCCTTCCTGAAGAAGATCATTGCCCCACGTGGCCCACGAAGTGACTTATGTGTTGTGGTTGTAACAACATCTGCATACTCAAAGGGTGAGGGAATGACCCCTGCAGCAACCAAGCCGCTAATGTGTGCCATGTCTGCCAACATTACAGCTTTTTGCTTGTCACATACCTGTTAAAGATTCCATAAAATCGTTTATTGTGTTAAAATATGTAATTAATAAGTGGATCAGATGTTAACAATGCGATAGCAAATGGTTTAACGTTACCTTACGAATGCGTGCATAATCATATAGGCGTGCATAAGCACTTGCACCAGCAACAATTAATTTTGGTCTAAAAAGTGTTGCACTTTTCTCCAGCTGTATAACACATTCCAACCTTATATTAACATGTCCAAATTGTAGAAAATGAAATACAAATGAAGCTTGATAACCTCTCAAAACCTCCACAGACAAAACTACATAAGTACATAACTACCCAACAAAAACAGATAGCACATCAGTTCAATATTATTGTGTCATTAGGAGGTGACAGGGGCTGATGAATGTTCCAGAGTTGCATTCACAATCCACCACTCACACCTTTCAAGCAGAGAAAAGCTACATGCATACCAAAGAGAGTTAACCATATAAACGAAAATCACAAAATTCACATTATACACATTATTATTTATTGTATCTCAAGGAAAATTTGCAAAATTTGCAAGGGTTAAAGACATAGGTGTATTGCAGTATTTGAATCATTGTATGCATGCAAGGGTAATAGATAGTCCCCATAAAATTGTAATTATTACCAAGGTAAAGACATGGCTGCATATGTCTGTACATGACAACAAAGTTTTATTTGGGGAAAGAGGGGGAAGGGGGAGCCATGGAGGGGAGAATTCAAGAAACAACCATCATAAGAAGGAAACAGTACAAAAAAAGCATTAAACTACACAATAACATATAAGAAATGGCATGCCAAGTAGCTTGTAGCTCAATGGAGAGGTCACAGGTTCGAACCCTAGTGGGGGCATTAACTCTTTGTTCTTCAATAGGTTGAGAAAGTATGTATGGACAAATACTACATTGTAATAGGGTCAGTAGTACTAAAAAAAAACATATAAGAAATGGCATAACTCCAGTAACTTGAAAATTGTCTGTATGGTGCTAATAAGATACCTGGTCATAGTCAATGTACCCTGTGCTCTCATCCAATCTGTATGGCATTGTCTCAAAAAAGATAGAGACAGCAGAAATCTTCTTGGTGTCAGTCTGCACAATGGAGAAAGATGAGATCAATATATCTTATAGAAAGAATCAAGTAATAAACCTCACAGAAATTTATTTGGAAGAAACTATAAGCACCTGATAACCGTGTGAAAGATGTCCACCATGAGGAAGATCAAGAGCCATGATTCTCTCATGCGGTTTCAGCAAAGCGGTATACACTTGAAAATTTGAAGGAGATCCTGATAGTGACTGAACATTAACTGCACAAGGTAAGATTGAGTACTTTAGTAACACCAAAATGGCTGGTATTGTAATCACCAAAAGTCTCATATAACACAGAATTTTAACTAAGAAAAGTATATCAAGGAATTTTGTACTGACTAGATTGGATATTTTACATTGTATGAGGAAAGGCTGAAATTTACTTGTCATTCTATGACCAATTGAAACTATGCAACTTAGTTACTTCAAAAAATTTAAAGCCACATCCTTTTAACTGCTACTTATTTAAGATGATAGGCGGCACAATCATTACCTCCCCATTTCTCAGGATCCAATTGGAAAGTTTCTAAAGCACGCTTTTGACACAATCTCTCTGCCATATCAATATACCTTGGTGCACACACAACAAATAGTATCCATTACATTCAGTAATGAAATTACATTCCCAACAAATATAAGAAGACAAAGTGATACAATCTCACAGTATATGGGTAGCACATTTCAGTAGAAAAAAGTAGCACAAGTACATACTCATTCCCTCCGTAGTATCGAGCACCAGGGTACCCTTCACTGTACTTGTTGGTCATTACTGATCCAACTGCTTGCATAACCGACACTGAAGTGAAATTCTCCGACGGTATGAGCTCCAGTCCCTAATTCCACATATAATTAAATCCACAAACTTCCTAGTCCTATCCCAATAACACCGGAACACGTATAGTAAATACCTTCCATTGGCGGGCTTTTTCGAGCTCGATGATGTCGGCAACCTCCGGATCAACTTGTTCAAGCGAGGCATTCAATTGCTTCGTCCACTGTCAGTCCATTTCACAGAAACATAATGACATACATCACGCGCGCACTAATAAACCAAACTCACAGATCTCGAAAATGAAAACGAGCAAAAGGTGTACCGTAACGCGGGGGTCCTCCTTTTGTCGAAGCGCTTGATTGTGCAACGAGGACTAACGTCGTAAAAGCACGAAACAAACAAGCGATCAGCTAATGCACAGAGCACATACGCATATATATACATATATATAGTATATATAGTATTACTAAAAAGGAAACCACGAGTTTTCAGATGAACAAACCGTGTATCGGAGGGAGGAGACAGCGGAGAGAGGACGGAGCAGAAGAGGTGAAGCGGCGGAGGAGGAAGAAGTGAATAGCCTTCGGAGAGCCATTGACATATGCATTGATCAATGGAGCTCAATTAAAGAGGAGTCGGTGAGGATGATGATCGCATGCGCGAGATCTCTATGCTTCGATCGCCGTCTTCTTCTTATTCTTCTTCTATGAGTGTGATGTCTGAAAGTAGTTCGTATGATCGGGATGGAGGTTGGTGAGAGGGAATATTGGGCGCCACCAAATGTTGGATCAGTTGTTCTCTTCTGCCGGGGCGAGTGCGAGTGAAGGGTGCAGCGCACTAGTCGGAAGTTGGTAAGCTCAGATGAACGGCGGGACCACTGTGGGTCCACCGCACACTTACCCAACTACTCCGGTGTTAAATTTTTACCCAAATTGTCTGATTCTGAGATTCTCTTCAATTTTATTTTATTTTATTTTTTAAAGAAAAAAGGTGCTAAATTGATCCCTAAACACATACATACAATAATTAGATCTATATTAAGTGAACAAAAAAAAAAAGTTACTGTGAGTTTCTCTAAACTAATAAATAAAATAGTATAATTAAATCTAATACCTATTTAACATGTTATTGTTGACATGGCTTTGACTAAATTAACACCAGGTGAATGTTGGGTGTACCATTTATTTATTTATTTATAAAATAAATAATTTTTATTTTTTAATAAAACAATAAAATAATAGTTATTAATAAAATAAAATGAATATTTTAATTTTATAATAAAATAAAAATATTTATTATTTTAATTTTAATAATATTTTTAAAAAATTAACTTTTTAAAAACAAACCGCCATCGATCATTTTCTCACGTCAAGTGACCGTTTGACAGAGTGACAGAACCATTTTGAGATCCAAATTTGGGGCCCTCAACCAGTAAGAGCCTACTGCTTGCTTTCTGTTTGTATAAATTATTTGCTGCATTCACAACTGATGTGTATTTTCAATGAATAGTAGTTACGGAATACATGTCACAGATTCATTCGGCATTCGCCTTATTTCAAGTTACAAAAGACAAATTTCTCACTTCTCCTGTGACCCAAGAGAGGGTAGAAAATATAGAAATCTATTGCACCTAGAGATATTAGTAGTACAAAGGCTGATGACATAACCATCACCTACAGTGCATATACATAGTTTTTACAAAATTTGTCTTATAATAATACATTCGCTCAATGGTCTATCTTGTATTGGAAATGTTGGGTTCCTACTGACCTTAAACATACGCAGTAGACGACTATATTTAAAGAATCACATTCTAGACCAATACCAAACCAAAATTTTTCTACTTCAATGTATACCATTAGGATATTTCACACCTGCATCATCACTTAGGGCATCTGATCCACTGGGAATTTTGCCTGGATAATTAGTTGTGGAAGTGTCTGATCCAATCATACTGCAAATAAAAGCACAATTCAGCATTCTGAAAAAAGTTGCTATGCTAGTTCTTAGGAAGGAGACATAAAACTGAAGTTCTTACCTTCTGTCAACAATAATCATTGACCGAAGTTCACAGTTCTCAAATCTGAAAATAAATGAAACCCATAATTTGTTAAAATCACTTAAAGGCAACCAAATAAAATGCCACCTTCAGTTAATGTAGAAAATCACAATTTTTCAGTATGCATAAAAGGTGTGACTTGTGAGGCGTTTTGAGTGAATCAGTGTACAGATACAGATTTGATTGCAAAATACGCCAACTTACCTTCTGCATACTTCACTCTTCACATTTGGATGGCAATCATTTCCAAATGAAGTGAGGGCATGAATCAAGAATCCACTATGAGTAACAACTGCAATCTCCTTCTCCTCCCGTGTCCACAACCTGTAAAACAATTAATTAAAAGTGAGAAAGAGAGAACCAAGAAGCTGCATATCTAGACCTACCAAAAGGTTTATAAGTTACACCGTATTACATAAATACTGTCCAAGAGGATGTAACAACTTGTGCATAAAAAAGATATTATGCAAATATGCAATTTCACTAAACTTGACACCACCCTTTGATTCGTCTCTCTCTCTCTTTTATAATTACATCATACTACCTGATTTTCTGAACAAATATCAATTAAATTACTTGTAAGATGCAACTGAAACCTATGCAGAAGGATATGGAATTAGAAAAGCTCCAACAGAAACTGCTTACTGCACTTGGTAATGAAATAATATTCTTTGCAACAATCTAGACATATATAAATAAATAGGACCCTTCATACAGTCTCATTTTTTACATAAAATCCCAGAAGCATTTTATTGAAAGTGTTGGTGGATAGAGAAATTACCACTTTAAGAACTGCATTCCTCTGGAAGCAACATCTTCATTTGGCTCCCTAACGTCCTCCTTCCATAGAATGTCCTCATCATTTTCAATCTGAAAAACAATAAGACTGTTACCGCCTAGAGGCCAAGCAATAAAAACTATAAATACAATTGCAGCTGAACAATGAAGTTATTTTCAGATAGCTTGGCAACATTAAGAATGAAAATCAGCAATGCGAACCTTTCCTCATTTTTTGGGTAATAAAAATCAACAATAGATAGTTTCAATAAGAAATTCAGAACAGCAGAAAACTACTTACCAATGAAAAGTCTATAGCTGGAAATAAAGGTTTATACTCATTAATGCTTCTTCTTTTGTCACACCAATGAACTCCCTGTATCATAAACATATAGATAAGATGTCCACATGAGAATAAAGTTATCACATGCATTTGTACCACTTGTACATTTATGGGAGTCAAAAAAAGAAAAGAAAAGAGGTACAGCACAATAAGGGCACACTTGGGTAAATAATAGCTACTAACCATCAGTGAATTAGCAAATGGTATACAAAGTTTAAAACCAAATTGATAAAGGGACAACCAGTCCAAAGTGGACATATACAGAGGTAAAATAATTTGTATACAATATACAGAGTAGAATCTGTGCAGAAAATGAGAAAAGATAAACCAATGGCCAGATATATGCATTCTTTGCTACAAATTGCATCTTACCAAATGTTCTCGACATAGTTCCACTGCTAAGAATGGAGGGCAATTTAAACTTGAAATTGCTGGTCGGCTACTATTTCCGCAATTTTCCACCATTAGTGGAGGAACATCTATTCCATCTGTATAACTTTCTCCACCAAAAGCACCAACTGCTGTTTGCATGGTCCTTCAATGAAATACCACAATAAATTATGAATCATCCATATAAGGGTTCTTTCTTTCTATTTTCCAAATCCAGCTCATATGTAATGTTTCTTAGACAGTGATTTACAATTTACAAGTTCCAATTTCAATCATACAAGCATGAGTCTAAAACACCAAGAACGCTTATTGTTATTACATTTCAGGTATGGAATAAGGGAATATCTCTGCATCCACCCACTGGCACATTACTTTTTTTTTAATGAATGATTTTTTCTAATGAGGTGTTTGTGCATGTACACACGCATTTCAGCCAGTCATACAGCCAGACAAATTTCCCTTTATGAAAGTTCAGGTATTTGTGTTCTATCATGTTGAGTTTATGTGTGATGAAGATCAATACGAACAGATACAATGAAAAGTGATAAGGGTCGTAAACTGGATAATAAGAATGGTTTAACTTTCTAAAAGAAGCAAATGATTATAAGAAGTTAGTTATGTGAAAGCAAACACTCATAAAAACTAACAAGAAATAAAATTTGATACCTCAATAAAGGGGAGGTGACTACCAATTCAATCCTCTTAGAAAGTCCAGATGAATGAACATGCTTGCGAAGATTATCCACCTATTAACAACACAAGTCATCTCAGTCTGTGATCATAAATCTTTTAATTTTAGTTTAGAATGGTGCAAAACAAATGTTCAACAGACGCATTAAGACTTCTATCAAATGAATAAACCAAATGGCAAAGACAAAAGGGGGAGTGGTATTCCCCAGAATTCAAAATTTTCCTTCCCATAGTATGAAACTTATTCCCACTCCTAAAAATAGAAATTATACTAAAAAAAAACCATGCAAAAAAAATTATGAAATCGTTATCTGTAGCATCACATGACCAATGGCTAAACCATCTCTTCCAATTCACTACCTGTTGCCAGCCAATAGGAGTAAGATGTGCATCAAAAAGGTGAGGCAATAGGTATGCACTATGGTCCTTTTCTCCTTCCACATTGTGAGCTCCCTGGGCATGCCTCACCTACAAAGCACGAATATACATGGACAAAATTGTCAAGGAGTGGGTAAAAGATGAATTGAGTACTGTTTTAATGTAAGCTATAGCAATCGCCTAAAAGGCAATGATTGAGGAAAAAGGACACACCAGGTGTATTATTTTACATCTATGCAGAGGATAGACACTCAGACCTCCAGAAGCATCCATATCTGTAAGCAGGAAACAAGATTATGTAAATATAAATGACCTTAAAAGAAAATCAAGAGAATGACTAAGGGAACTTTTCTACCAGGAAAAATATTTTTTAAAAATTGTGGAAGAATGTGATTGATGAGTTCCAATATACATCCTATACAAAATATCATAAAATTAATCCAAGTGTTTATCAAATGGAAAAATTAGCAAGGAGTTAGTATCTTTCATCTCTTTAGGGTTAAGAAATCAAATTCACAAAGTTGATAGAAAGTTTCGTGGTTCCTCAAAGGGCAGGAACAAGTCCAACTACAAGTCTAAGAGTCTAAGACGAACTCATTACATTCATCATATCAGTCATTTCAGAGTTCAGAAATCTAGACCCGTGGGATAAAAGGCATGCTTCAAATCTCTAACTTAATAGCTATCTAGGAGTAGTTCAGTTAAAGCCTTCTGCATAATCAGCACATAATACTTCACTGTATTTAAAATTTTTAATAAAACACAGAAACTACAAAGTAACGAAGAATTTGTTGCTTCAAATCTTCGACAATGAAATAGCTCCAGAGAAAACATAAGACGCTGTTATTCTACATAATGATTTTGAAAAGCAAAAGTTCAAAACAAACTAAAAATCCATTCCTCAAAACACCGCATGAGATCCAAAGTCTCAATGCATTTTCAGGATTAACAAATGCGCTGAACTCAATGTAACAGTGCACCGGAGCAGAGATCGCGAACAGATAGAAGAACAAAATGCATTACCGCGAAAAAACTAAAAACAATCATCATTTACATGTAAATATGTAATGCAAGCAAACGTTTCTCACAAAATATCAAACAAAATGATAAAATCAATCATACACTTGGCAACCGCAATATCATTTCGTTTAGGGACAGAGAGATTACCGGAGACAGAGAGAAACGAAAGCAGCGGAGCGGGAGAGGAAAAAGGAGAAATGCAGCTGTGCTTGGCTTGCGGAAACTGTTATAGAAATGGAAATGGAAATGCATTTACGTTTATAGAGAAAGAGCCGCCTCACCATCTAGACCGCCAGCTTCCGTTTTACAACTCGCCTCCTGTTTTTCTCTTTTTATTTATTTATTTATTTTTTACGTGGTATGTATCATTTTAATTATACTTCAATACTTCAATTCTATTTGATAATATTGTTATGTTTTACTAGTTTTATTTTCTCTCGAGACTAGTTTTATTATTACAATATTAAAGTATAATTTTAATTGTACTATAATTTCATTTGATAATATACATTAGTGCTTAAGCTTTATTTTTTTGTTTCATTTTCAACGTACACTTGTTTAATTATAGTAATGTTCAAGTATTGTTTTAATTACACTTCAAACCTTTAACAATATATGTTATTATATATCTTTGAATTTTACTTTCATTTTTCACGCACACTAGTTTTATTATAGCAATACGAAATTATCATTTTAATTATATTACAATTTTATTTGACAATAATGTACTCTGTTTAATATTTTCATTTTTCACATATACTAGTTTATTATAGTAATAGTGTATTTATTCTCATTCATATGTTAAGTATTCATTCTAGTGACTCATCATCCTTACCCTTTTTTTTTTTTACTCTCTTCTTTCCTTCAACCCCAATCACTATAAATTAGTTAGCAAATATTAATGAACGTTTAACAAATAAATACAAATAGATTTTTTTTAAATCTTAACATACAAACACTCTAAAAATCTTAACAAATAAACACGATCAACCTATTCATTCATGTTCGGTTCGTTAATAGTTTTATGCTTCAATGACGCAAAGTCTAAGTGCTTGCTTTTTGCCCTAAGGTTGGAATCTTTCCCTATTAAAGATTCGAACACAGGTATCAATTATTATACTATGGACCGTGGTCCATCTTGCATTGTGAATTATGATCAAGAAATTATGTGTATACAATTGACGTATTTTGTACATGTAGTTAACAAATGATGTGTCTGTAAATAAATTAAAGGCATATAACATGGTAACTACAGATACATAACATGATAACTATAGATACATAATATGTTAACTATAGACACATAATATGTCGTTAAAATATTATGTGTCAGTAGTTAATATATTATGTATTTGTAATTACCATACTATGTGTATGTAAATAAGGGTGTGTTTGGTTCGCACATGAGAATCGGAATCGGAATGGGTATCAAATACTTGGTAATAGTAATGGGTTTTGGTGAAAGTATTTAACATGTTTAGTAGTAGGGTGGAATGGGAATGGTTACTAATAGTAGTGCTTGAGAATGAATAAGGGAATGAAACCTTTATTTTATTTGGGTATGGATTTTACAATTGATGGGGTATTTAAAACCCATAGTAGTGTTCTAAAAACCTATCAACCAAACAATAACCATCACTGTCATACCTATTCCTAAATTGAAAGTACGTTAATTACAGACACATTTGACCTATGGTATAATTTGCCTCCGATTATTTGTTGAAGTATGTTCCGAGTCCATTTTACTAATTATATATACATGACATGTGCTGATAATAATGCCCACGTTGTATACTCAAAATTGGTGTTCACGGACCAGAGACGTGTTCAAAGTGACAATTCAAGCAAGTCAATTACGTACGATGTACGTGGTCGCTCGTGGATCGACGGTCGGATCGAGAAGCTGCGCCGTTGGCTACTTGTTTATGGTCAAACTCATGACAAGTTTCACATTTTGATTTTTTTTTTTTTTTTTTTTTTTTTTTTTGAGAACAGTTTCACATTTTGATGAATAAATCACTTAAACATTTTCCCCTAAAGCTAATAGCACCCATGCAATTATGAGCTTATGCTAATTGCAATCCCACATTAATTATTCTTTAAAAAAATTGCCATATTGGTCGCTTTTGCAAATCTGACTCTTGCAAATTTTTTTTTTGGTTTATTATTATTCATTTTTATTATTTTATTTATAATATAAATTAAAAATAAATTATTATATTTTTGAGGCAACCAAGCAAGTAACTTATATTAGCAAAGAGTCCAAAAAAGGAAGTGGCACATCACACCACTCCAAGAAAGTAGAGCAAGCCCCCTCGACTTTAACCAATGCATGGGCGGCCTAATTTCTATCCCTACGAATGAATCGGATATCACAGGCACATCAACTATTAACTGCATTGCATTACAACAAATTATTATATAATTACAATATTATTTATTTTACTTTAAATTTTAATTTATATGTCTATTTTTAATTTTGGAATAAGGGTCAAATAGGTCATTCAACTGCACACCAACATGCAATTACGCCACCCAACTCAAAAAAGCTACAATTAGGTCCCTGAACTACACAAATTCATGCAATTTCACTAAAAATTACTTGTTTACCTATTGATACGCTGACGTGTCGGTTATCAAATTTAAAAATATTTTTTTAATTTTAATTTTAATAATTTTAAATAATAAATTATTTTAAATTTTTTTTTTAAAAAAAAAAACAAAAAAAAAAAAACAACACAGCCGGAGACCTTCGTCTCCGGCCAGCCAGGAGACGAAGGGCTCCCTTCGTCTCCGGCCAGCCAGGAGACGAAGGGGATCCCTTCGTCTCCGGCCAGCCATGGAGACGAAGGGTTCTCCATGGCTGGCCGGAGACGAAGGTCTCCGGCTGGTTATTATTATTATTATTATTATTTTTAAATTTTAAAATAATTTATTATTTAAAATTATTAAAATAAAAGTTTAAAAATTATTTTTAATTTTGTAACCCACACAACAGTTAAACAAGTCATTTTTGGTGAAATTGCATGGATTTGTGTAGTTCAATGACCTAATTGTAGCTTTTTTGAGTTGGGTGGCCTAATTACATTTTGGTGTGTAGTTGGATGGCCTATTTGACCCTTATTCCTTTAATTTTTAATTTTAAATAAATAATTACGATAATCACCTCTTCAATTATGATTTGCCATATTGTACAAATGGAATAGAATGACTAATGTGATATGAATTTGGTTGGTTTATATTGAACATAAGAGGAAACTTTGTAGGGAATATTGTAAGGAGTAATATATGGAATAGGAATAAGATTTAAATTGGCCACTGAACGTAATCTGCAAATGCAATTAGGCCATTGAACGAAAAAAAAATGTAATTAGGCCACTGAATACTCCAAAATCGTGCAATTAGGCCACTAAACACTGCAAATGTATGCAATTTCACCGGATAGCTGGTTACCATCAATTTTAGCAAGTTACCTGCTTACGTGGCAGTTGAGTTGGAATTTTTAATAAATTTTTAATATAAATTTTTTAAAAATTGAAAAAAAAAAATAAAAAAATAAAATGATGGGGTGGTCGCCGTCGTTTTTTTTTTTGTAATATTTTTTTTAAAAAATTATTATTAAAATTTATTAAAAATTATTAAAAATGTCAACTCAACTGTCACATAAGCAGGTAACTTGCTAAAATTGTTGGTAACCTGCTATCAGGTGAAATTGTATACATTTGAAGTGTTCAGTGGTTTAATTGCACTTTTTCTTCGTTCAGTAGCCTAATTGCATTTTCTTGTTACGTCCAGTGGTCAATTTGAACCTTATTCTTATAGAATATTGTAAGGAATAATGCAGAGAATCATGTAATGAATAATTCAAAGTATATTCTAAGGAATAATGTAGAGATTCTTATTGTAAGGAATAATGAAGAGAATCTTGTAAGGAATATGAATATATAGTGTCTTGTAAATAAATATTGTCTATATATATACGATATGTAAAAGTAAAGTTCAACAAGGCATCAAATACATGTTCACAGGTTTATGCGGGTCTTGATGCATGCGGGAGTTTCTATCCCTTATCCCATGAAAAGTAATCATTATTGTGTGAATTATGACCATACAAGTTGTATAAATTATATTTATATATTAGAAAATAATGTATATTCAATACAAAAATAATGTATATTATATTCAGAGAATGTATATTATTTTTGTACTGAGTGTACATTATATTGTATAATGTACATACAGTACAAAAATAATATACATTTAATATATTAAAAATATACATTTTATTATGGTCCACATAACACTATGTGCACCATGGTCCACACAATAATTTGCCCATGAAAAGGACGCTTCTAAGACGAAACGGAAAAATAAACAGTCACTAACACAACCAATGAAATTTGAAAGTTTGGATGAGTACATGTAATAACAATATATCTTAGAGGTCAATAAGGTAAATGTTATAAAGAATTATGTAAATAAAAAAGAATAAAGAAATAAAAATAAGTTAATATTACAATTGATGTAACTGGATACATCAACCATGAATGAAATTAAAAAAAATGTACAAGAGCCTGCACGGGGTTAGCTCAATGGTTCAGTAGATAGTATTTGGGAGAAAAGATCAAGGTTAGAACCTCAATGGTCCTAGTGTGGGGATTACACATAAAGTGGACAGATCCCTTGTCGAGCCGGGGTGAGGCCCTTGGAGTTGGGGATTCAACTTTTTTAAAGAAGAAAAAAATAGAGTAAATACCCAAAATGGTCCCTCGACTATAGCTAAATTCACAAATTGGTCATCGACTTTCAATTTTAACTAATTAAGTCCTTAACTTTGCAATTTTAACATGATTTGGTCCTCTGTCTTTTTGACCATTTGTTGACTGTGATTTTTGAGGATATATATATAATTTCATGATCCACCGTCGGTTTTTTAAGGTTCTGGTTGCATTTCCAGGTCCATTTGTTGACTGTGATTTTTGAGGATATATATGTAATTTCGTGGTCCATCGTCGGTTTTTTAAGGCTCCGATTGCATTTTCAGGCCGCATTGTTACATTTGAATCCACTGCCAAAAGCAATCTGCCAAATCCTGTCGCCTTTCTTCATCCTCCCTTTGGATTCAATGTAGTTAGTTCGTACCAGAGTGAAGACGACGACGTGTTTCCGAACAAGTGCAGCGTCATCTTGGAGGCCTCCACGTGCTCCGACGAGACACGATTATTTGTGGCGTTGGACCTGATGAAGATTGCAAATTGGGT